GTGCATTGTGGTTCTCCTGTGTTCTCAACAATAGGAAAACATTCAATAAATAGATGTTTGAGCTCATTTTTGGAAAATACAAAACCCTCATGAAAATCGTTCGGATGGAGTTACTGTAGGTCCATCAGCCTCCACCCTTAGTGTGCCCCCACCCTTAGAGCGCCCCCACCAACTTTCATCACAAAGTTACTTTATGTCAATGCTATGAAGAATTATTCTCCTAAAATATATCCTGAGAAATGCACCAATTTTGCACATCTCTGATGTTGCTGCTATCTACAGTCATAGCAGCCATTTTCTTTCCTTTCATCTAGTTTGCTTATAAAGCTATTTTCTCCTGCACCCTAAATGCACCAGGGAGTGTTATCACAGATCCTTCCTCCCAGCAGCTGGAAGACTCTAGAACCACCACTGTTCCCATCAACCTCAACGAATTCTTCCATTCATGATGATTTTGCACAGTTTCTGCCTTAGTCAATTAAATAACCTGCTGCTGTCATTCTGCACATCTCTGATGTTGCTGCTATTTTCAAACATCCATTACTGGAAAAATGTCCATAGCTGGATATTGGTGATTTATTCTCCAGGTGCAGTTTTATATTTGTTAAAACACTTTACAATACACTATTTTATTGTTTACTTTTAACTCTTCACTATGTTATTCTTATAAAGTTTCTAAGCTCCACATTTGTCTGACATTTTTTTCTATAATCTTTTTGCTGTTGTAACAACAGAATTTCAAAATCTTGGGACAATAAAAGGATTTTCTAGAAATCTAGAAAGCCACACATTTCAGTTCATAGTAATCAGAGTTCCAGTTTAATTATTTTTTTTAATTTTATTTAGTTATTTATTTGACAGGGACCGTGTACATTAACTAGCATTGCTGCAGATGTAACAGAATCAACCAAGAGGCTATTTTTCATCTGTTGTCCCTGGATTGATCTTTAAACTGTTTACCTAAAAACAGTAAGAATTTTACAGCAAACAATACTATCTAGATAGATAGATAGATAGATAGATAGATAGATAGATAGATAGATAGATAGATAGATAGATAGATAGATAGATAGATAGATAGACACAAAACATTCCACGCTAAAGGTATAAATATATACATATGTAACTATATATGTGTATATTTAAATATATTTACAGAGAAAATAAGATAATACACAATGTACAAAAGAGCAAAAGAATGAATAAATAAATGTCAAATAATTGTCAATAATTCTATCTATCTGAGTCAGAATTACTGAGGGGTTATGTAGGTTAGGTATACAAATAAATAAATAAAAAGAAATATTCTTCAATAAACGACAATTCTCCTCTCTTCCTGTCTCCTCCTCCTCACGATTCCTCTTTTTTTTTTGTTCAAAATAATTTTTCTTTCATTAAAAACGATCAAAGCCGATCAAATCTGACTCTAGAGGCCAATAATCATGACCAGTCAGATCCTGGGTCGTTTTTAAAAAAGACAAAATAACTGTATGAATGAAAAACTCTGATCAGCTGTTAGGAGGCAAACTGCTTCAAGCTAAAGAAGGCTGCAGAGCTCAGATCATTGACTTCATTAATTACTGCAACACACAAAGAGAGGAAAGTCCATAAAATCATGCAGATTCCAAGTCCAGTCCAAATGCCTTTCACCTAGTTTGAGGTGCATGTTTGTGTGTTTAAACAGGTTAAAGACATGAAATTATTAAATGCATTTTATTTCTATTCAAACACTACGGAAGCCCAGAGAGGTCGTTTCCCTCTGATACTTTTTCGCGGTGGTTTTCTCTAGAATACAAGTTCATTTTCTCATTATCTAAAGATAACGAAAGCCGTTTTCTCATCATAACGAGATGATAATTGTGTTAAAACTGATTACATCCCTCAATACAACAGCAGGAGAGGATTTAGAAGCATAAGTCTAATTCTGTAAACAATCCTGTGTTTAACATTTAGGGAACGAGACGACGTTGTTGGTTTGATGATTTGCTTCCACTTCTGATTCATAAGCAATCAGACCATGAGAACCAGGAGCTGTATGTTTGGGGGTGCGGTCAGAACGGTAGAAGGCCCGTCATCCACGGCACCTAAGAACAGCGAGGGCCAAGTGGACCCGACCGGAAAAAGGTTTACTAATCTAACCCAGCAGATTGCATGGAGACCCTTTGGATCAGCATGCTGTTAGCACCGTTAGCTTAGAGGAAGCCCTCCTCCAGGACCATGACTGCTATACATGCTTTAATTATTCACATCGTGTCATTTGCGCTGCATAGAAAGGAGCGTTCTGGCAGAAGAAAAGCATTTAATATGCTGTGAATCTTACCTGCGGTAGTTTCTGCATGAACCGTTCTTTATATGCATCACCGTCACCCATCCTCTGCTGCTTGTCCATCAGGGTCACGCTGCGTTTGGCGCCAGCAGTCTGTTGGCGAGCGGCGGGGCTCACCCTGAACAGGGTCTCTGCAACATCCGGAGACACCAATCAACATAACGGACATGATTTTGGACTGTGGGAGGAAGCCAGAGTACCACTACTATGAGAAACATCAGAGAGAGTAGAATGTTAGAGATTGAAATAACAGATTCTGCAGAGTGGTAGAATAAGGGTTTAATAGATTCACACATCAGGCTAATTCAGTCGCCTCCAGAGATGACTGACTTAGTCTGTCTGTCTGTTCTAACTGGGCTGGATCTATGACACAGTGTTGTTTATCCTGCTGGTTAACAACAGGAAGTTTACAAACTGAAACAGGCCTGTTTTCTGGCCTAAAGGTGGGTTTTCTCCGTGGGAGTGGAGTCCTGCAGGGTTCTGTGATACCCTTCCCTGTAAAACAGTCTGCAAACAGACTCCCCCTTCAGGGCTTCATTTCAAAGCCATTTTTAGCAGGCAGTTTGGGTTCTACTCTTCCCAAAACGGCCTCACAAGATTTTATCCTTCACTTCCAGTCAGCAGCAGGCTAAAAATACGCAGCTTCTGAAACTTTGTTTACAGCTGGAGGTGACCCGTGGCCGGCGCAGGAGGCTGACCCGCGCTGATAAGCCTGCGAGGCGTTCCCCCATTTCAGACCGCGATCATAAACAAGCTAGCTTCAGCCGCATGTTGCTTTACCTCCACTGCCCCCCCCACCTCGTGTAAAAGTGTGTCCTCTCCACAGACGAGCGCCTTAAATGGACAAACACAGAGGAAGTGTCGTTTCTCTCACTCTTGAAAATGAAGCGGTATGCAGAGCATGTGCCTTTGTTTGCTGACTCCAACAATAACCCGGGTCTGATGGGGGAACAATGGCCAGACTGTCGCTGACAGCTCTGTTTGCCAGGTCTGGCGGAACAATGCGTCGCCACAGGATA